CATATACCTATCCATAGCTCTCCCTCCTTTGCCCAGCATCTGCCTATCCACACCTCTCCTTCCTGTGCCCAGCACCCCTTATCCACCCCAAACTTCTCCTACCTGTGCCCAGCATTCTCCTAGCGATAGCTCTCCCTCTGTGCCCAGCGCTCCCCTCTCCCCCATCCAGAGCTCTCTCTCCTGTGGCCAACAACCCCCTTCCCCATCCACAGCTCTCATCTTTTGATGCTGCACACTCCAAAACCCAAAACCCTTCTTCATTCTAGGCTTACTTCTCACTTTCTTAGCAGTCAACAACATTCTAACAAGCAGCAACCAGTGCAGGCTTTTTTATCTCTTTTTAAGCACACTCGCTGCTCACGAGCAGCAGTAGTGTGCAGTGAACCACTGCCAGTGAGTGGCATCGGCACCACCCCCGTGAACCAACCGAGAAATGTGGGACAAGTGTTCTGGATGCCGGCTAGCAATACCCCTGCTCCAGATTAGCAGGATTGAGATGAGTAGGAGTATTTACACCCATGCAGCATCCAAAGCAGCTGGGGGGGGGGCACCACTGATATCTAGGGGGATGCAGCCCACCTCGGCACCCCCATAGATCCAGCCATGGTAGGAGCACATATAACAATGGACCTGCCCTCAACCTATCCATTGTTACATGTGTTCCTACTATGGAGGCTCTAGAAATTTTTGTTAGAACTGTAGTATATACAGCGGTCCCTTGTTGTGGACATATTTGCAAATGTGTGCAAATAAAACCCCCTGAGCTATGACATGTAGCCACCACTATAGTGCATGCATCTAGACAGGAAGTGGCTGCAAGAAGGCTGGAGAAGGCAAACAGCATTGAATTGCAAAATAAAAGAGTAAATTAAAAACAGAGAAAAAAAATGGCCTGTTATTTATGACAGACGGTGCTGTGGCAAACTAAATGTCATCCAGTCAGGGTTTACATCTACTTTAATCAACATACATTTATCTCAATAGTATCTTTTAATGATCTGAACATACTCCATCTCCCCACTACATTTAGAACATTTAATAAATCCAGCATTTTGTATTACAGCTAATGCTGCCATTTCCTTTGCCAGCTGCTTTCATTAGGATATTTAACAAGAGGTTGTAGTGTGTGAAGTCAGAACATTGTTCATCGAAGGTTTTCTAGCTCCTCTGTTTTCCAGCACTCTGCAAGACATTTGACTGGAATATAAAATCATCTATTATTAAATGCTAATTCCCATCGAGTTCTATGCAGTTTGTGCACACAAATTATCTTGTTACATTAGAACACCACTAGGCTAGGGCTGGAAGACTCTGGGTGGAGAACAATTTTCTGCTCTATAAACTATCTGGAGCTATCGCCTCTTATCAGAAATATGTTTCAGACCCTGCATTTTATAAATATTATATATATATATATACACATTTTTTTAGTTAAATGACCAGCTTTATGTTCAGGGAATCTATAAAACAATTATTTAAAATTAAACTTTGTGAGCAAGTCAAAAGTTGCATAATAATAGAATATAGAATTTATTCATAAAATGAATAATATAGCATGTATCTGGAAGTCCCAATTTCCCAAAGTTACTCTTGGAGTTTAGAGGTTTTTTTTGTGGTTGTTCTCAAAGTCTGAATTCACAGTAAAGGAAACCATGTATTTTAGTGAATTATAGCAGTTTTTCCTAAAAATCATGTTAGACTCAGTTATCACATTTGTATTTGCTTTTATATTTTCATGCGTCTACTCTACATCAAGATCTGTAGTTCTGCATCCAATAGCTATCAGTACATCAGAAAATATGATCAACAAAGATGAATGACTGCTGTGAAAACAATATTCCCGGAATAAAATCACCTGTTAAATTTGAAAATCATAATATGAAAAATCTACATATACAATCATCTTCTAGTACTTAAAGTGGAACTTTACTCTTTCAATCAACATTGACTATTTTTAATACTTATGCTACTAATATTAGTAAACAGATATGTAAATGTAATACACTTTCCTGTTTTAAATGTTTATTTTACATTTCTTCAGTACTTCCTGGTTTCCAGGCCTAGGCAAATGATGTCATATATCCAAGAAGTCTTTAGGAAGTCAGAGTCACACCGATCAGAGCGGTTCCATTGCCGATCATTGGATGTGATTTGTCATGCAATTTGAGCGGTCAAATCGCATGACAATTTGCATCAGTGTGAACCAGGGCTAAAAGTGATCAGGCGGCTGTATAGCTGTTCGGGTCACTTTTACTTTTTACAGTATCGTCGTCTGAAGAAAATGATATCAAGATCATGGCTGCAGTTGCAGCAATGGTTCTGATATTACTGATCTTGTCCAAGGATGTACAGAAACATCCTAAGGATGAGAAGTGGTTTAAAGAAAAACAGTTGTAACACTTTTATTTAATCCAACACTTTTTTCTTAGTACCTTTTTACTTTGCCATAAAATGACCCCCATCATTCAACCCTGAAACCTTTGTAAAGATTGTGAGTGGAGGGTGTCACTGCCCCACCCCTGAGCACCATGACCTGCACCTACAGTGTATTGATGCAAAGAGCAGCGTTGATGCCATCACATCAACTCCACTCCCTGCATCATCTAGGTCTGGCCACCTCTGTTAGAAGACTGAAGAGAAAGAACAGCATGCCTGCATTTTATTGCAGCTCTCTGCATCACACCACACCTTCAAGCTGCATTGCAGTGCAAACGGGGAACATAGAAACCAACTGTTTTATATGTGTCCTAGTAGTGACTGGAGTTATTCCAGTTTGGAAAAATGCCAGTCATCACACTAGTGTGAATGACCTTTAGGATATGGTACCCACCCATGATCTCAACCCTCAGTTAGTTGTGCTCCTTGATTCATACTCTTCATATATGTTGTGCTGTTCATTTTTAATTTTATTTTGTAATTAAATATTCTCCACTAAAAAAAAGAAAGAAAAAAAGCAAAACATAATGCTGGGGGGGGGGGGGGTGCTCAAGAGGGGAAGTAAGTCCTGTGGGGATGGAAGCATGGAATCTGAAATTGGGCTTTAATTAACTTCTGGTGAACACCTGTGCTGTAATTCTTTTAGATATAAAGGTTGGAATATCTGTATGGCCCTAATTTAGTTTTGGGCTATTCCCATATATTCCTATATTTTTATTAACACATAAGATTATTTATATTAAACGAGTCCCATGCACATATGCATATTATAGGTATACTTCATAATGTGTACATTCCTTTGTAGTCTGAAGTTATGCTGAATCTCCACCAGCTTGCATCTCGAAGGCTTCAGCTACACGTGCACTGTTTACTCTCACCTTGTACAGCTTGGTCTGCAGAGCCTCGTGAACAGCAGGAATTTACAAATCATTAGTGAACAAAGCTTTGAGCTGAGTCTTTGAAGCTTAGCTTAGGACAATTAGCTAAATATACAGTTCAAATACACATATGAGAACTGCTAAACTTGCTACAAGATTCATAATTGTGTTCAGACAGCCTTATCACCCCGGTGCCTCCACCAGATGTAGCACCCTCCTTTGTTTAGCTAGGGGGAGCTAGATCCTAATAGTTAGACAGGAGCTGTTAGCAGCTCAGGTGTAATATCCAGTGGGGTCATATTGTGGTCAGGGCTGAGAAACTCTGCAGGCCAGCCCCTCTGGAAATTCCCCTGCTCTGAGGCTTTTGGTGGAGGGCCTTTGAGACAGTGGGTGGATCTGAGGAGTGGCTTGCTGCACTCTTGAAGGACCTCAGCCAATCCCCAACAGGAGGCTTGGCAAGGGACTGGGAACTCCCTTAAAAGTGCTGGAGACTGCTCAGTAGCAGGAGAGTCGGGTGGAAGAAAGAGAGGAGTGTTGAGAGGAAGATGTGAGGCAGAGGAAGGAGGCTGCCAGGAGGCCTAGTGGGATGGGGCCTGTCTGCAAGCCTGGAGCTGGAAAGGAGGAAAACTTGGAACTCACTAGTCCCCTGAGCGAGGACCACCTGTATGGCAGCCCAGCTGATAGGCCTGGTAGCAGCAGCCAACCCGCAAGCAGTAGGATCTGGCTGAATACATCTGCACCCTCCAGTGGATAGGAGAAGCAGCACTCTGGTGGGAAACCATATTAGCCCCCAACTAGTGACTGTTCACCAGTTTAAAGGAGCAGGAGCCAGATCCCCTGCTCAGGACACTCTCCAGATTGCTGGATGAAGAGGAGTCCATCTAGGGTCTGGGGTGGTACATCAAGTAGATGCTGGCTATCTCTCCAACAGAGACTGTGTTACAGAAGAGAAGCTTGTGAATAGTTCTAGGAAGTTTGTCCTCAGTTATTGGTTCCCTTGGGCATCCTATACCCCCCTTACCCTATCACAGTTTAAATTCCCTCAATAAACAACAAAACAAAAGCTCAAGAACTGATTTTCTGACTCTGAATGCAAGCTTGTGAAGAATGCAGATTGCCTAGCTGTGCAGGACTATAGGGGGACCCAATTCAACAGCAACCGTTAAGGGAAAAACACAGAAAATACAAGTAAATACTTGACCTCCCTGCAGAAGACTATACGGCAGCATTACAACCTGGTCCAGGACCTAACCCAACCCATGACTGGACAGTAAAATCGCAGCCGCTCAGTGATACACTCATCCTCCAGCATACTTCTCTCACAGATGTCTGTTCCCCATATTAGATTGGCAGTACTGGGTATACCATTAGAATCTCAATCTGAATGATGCCCTGAATGGGATAACATAGAGCTGAAATTTAAGCTACTCATATATAAAATTTGCAGTGCGATTTGAGTCACACAAAATGAATGGCTTAAATCGCACTGCAAACAAATGCATGTGATTTGAACAGGAATGGGGTGGGATTCGTGTCCGAATCACATGAAGTTTCCCGCACCACAATAGAGGAAATCGGCACTTAAGGGGAAAAATTATGGATTTGGGTCAAAGTTAGGTCTCTTTTTAGCTTAATAGGCTTTCAAATGGATATGGTATATATTTTCTACTAAAAAAAAAAAATCTTTTTTTTTTCAAGTAAAAATTTAACACAGAGTGTATTCATACCCAGGGGCGGACTGACCATTTGGAAACTCGGGCACTGCCCATGGGCCCAGGGTCAGTAGGGGGCCCCATGAGATGCCCCTGGTACCTTTTTCATAAGCTTTTTTGAGTTTGGGCAAGGACACAGGGCCCCATGATCCCCTATTGCCCGGGGGGCCCCATGAGTTGTCAGTCTGCCCCTGTTCATACCCCATGGGTTTTTACAGAGAAAATACAACAGCTGTTTGCTTTCAGACTGTATCTCCAGCTGAGAGGGAGAGAGGAGATGGACAGGAGTAGGTCACTAACTACTCTAAGGCTGGTCATAGATGGATTATTTTTTTAATTTAGCCATTGGGCTGACTGAAAAAAACAAAACAAAAAAACATAAGGATTCCCCCATCAACACAAGCGAGGACTCCTCTGTTGTCAAAATACACTGATCAGTGCTGCAGCAAGCTAGCTGCAGCTGCTGATCAAATAAAAAATTTCCGACAGTCCAGCTGGACAAAAGTTGATCATTAGATCACGTTCCTGCTGGAAAGCCTTGTTCGATCAGCGGCTTGCAGCCAATGGTTACAGCCCTGATCAGTGTATTCTGACAGTGGAGGAGTCCCTGCTGTCAGAGTACAATAGCACAATGGGGGAGAATCCTGCATCCACCTCACTTGTATGAATGCAAAAATCTGCTGGTTGAAAAAAAAATTACTTGGTGTAACTGGATCTAGGGTACACTCACACTAGACACAGGTGAACTTAACTATGCCTAAGTTTGATTGTCCCCCCCCCCCACACACACACTTCCCTGCTGGTCTCTGCTCATACTGGTCTATGAGCAAATGTTCCCAGGCACACTTTCCTCATTATCTATACAAACCAGTCTCCAGGGATCATTGCTTCAGTGCTCTTCATCTGTGGAAAACGTTATTGAACCACAAGTGAATAGTGCCAAGGACTACCTCTCCAAAGTGGACAAGGCCTTGTATACTTAACTGTGCCTGGGAACGGTTTGGGGCACTCACAAAAAGAAGCCACACATGACCCGGACCAAGATGATGGACCGAGCCCATGAATGGATAAAACGGTCATTGTGTATGTACCTATAAAGACTAGCACATGTACACGAAACCACCAAGGGCTGCACATCAGCAGTAGACATCTGTTAGGCCTTGACCTGGTTCCCTTTAATAGACGTCTTGGCTGTAGATTTAAACAAGCATTTAGAAGACCTAAGCAGGTTTCAGTTTGCTTTAACACAACTAAGATTCTTCTTGAAGCTTTTATGAAATGCTTTGTAAATGCCTGTTGATGCTCTTCAGATTGGGTATATTACCAACATTAAACAATGATCATTTGTATGAGGCTTTGTAGATTGCACTGCTGTGATTTCCTCATCCCCCCACTCCCATCCCTAACTGACTAGTCCAAAATACCTCAAAAAGTATAAAAAAAAATGTGACTCAACATACCAGAAACCATATAAAAATTATTTAGCAATTTTGGATAAAGTTGTTCTTTAGAATTGCAATGAATTTTATTATACAGCAACAGAAGAATAAAACTGAGAATGTGTGAGAGTATTACACATGGAATAATCTTAAAACAGTGTTCAAATACCTGGGTGAGGAGTCATTGCATGAGTTACTCAGCAAATGTAACACTCCCGTGACACATTCAGTAGCACAGTGTGAAACATGAATGCTTTTCAGAAATTTTCTTTATCTGATTACGGAAAAAACAGCTCACACTAAGCTTAAAGAGGCCTTAAACAGAAGTATGGCTGACGTTCTCCTGATTCAAAAAATTTTTTTCTGGTAAAAAAAGTGTAAGTCATGCATTATCGTAGACAAATGTGGAAGCTTACAAGTCTACAAATGTAGAAGTGTCATATTCCAGGGACATCATCACTTTAATGGCTCACCTATTCCTCCTGCACCCAGCAAAGTGTCAATAAGCATGATGGTGGGCTTGCTTACCTATCACTAGTCATGGGAGGAGGTGGGCCAAGCAATGGATATTTGCAAATTGGAGCGCTCAAGGGCCTCAAGATCGATATATATTTTCATGTTCTCCAGGAACCTAAAAACTGGTGCTCTGATATGAAAATACCTATCGCAATCCCAAAAGTTACCTAGTGACCTAGCCAACTCAAACTGGAATAGCAGCATCTGCAAAAAACTTATTCATGCTTACCTTTCTGATGGGTGGTGACTCCAGTCTTTCTTGCAGAGAACGACCACCACTGGAATTGAGCACTTGATCTTCCAATGTGCACTGTGGTTCCTCCCACAAGCTCCTATGTCACTATTGTGTCCTGCACTGAGATTGGCGCCAGCAGGATGAATCACGAGACACAGTGGTTGATGCATTATCATACACAAATGTGGAAGCTTACAAGTCTACAAGTGTAGAAGTGTCATATTCCAGTGACATCATCACTTTAATGGCTCACCTATTCCTCCTGCACCCAGCTAAGTGTCAGTAAGCATGATGGTGGGCTTGCTTACCTATCACTAGTCATGGGAGGAGGTGGGCCAAACAATGGATATTTGCAAATTGGAGCGCTCAGGTTTCAGGATTCTCAGAAGGTGTGGGGGGGGGGGGGGGGGGGAATACATTGACCTAAGGGTAACTGATTTTTTCAGTAGTGAGTGAGGTTCAGTTTAAACACAGTCTGATTACCTGTTCAAATTACTAGATATTAACAATCAATGTCTTTATCTTTGCTTGCAATGCAAAAGCAATATGCGCACTATATCCCTGTGACCAGCCCATGCATACATCATAATGTCTGATAAGCAGAGCAGTTGAAAATTCAATACGAACTTGCAATGCATTATAGGAGCTGAAATGATAAGAAGGATTGGAACCTGGAGCTGAAATTATGTACATGTATCTGGCATGGGGAGATATCATAAATCCTTGGAGCCACCTGTGGCCCACAGACTGCATGCGGTCCTTTATTTATTGTGTGGGTCTCAGACTCTGACGATCTCTACACATGCTGCTAGTCTCCAACTATGTCTGTATAATATCAGCAGTGTCTGACCATACCCTGTAGCATGTCTGGTGTCTTCTATAAGGCTTGCATTAAATAAATATGTGTAGCTTTTTAGAGGTATTAGGGGCCACACTTGAGGCCCCCTATAACGGGTAAGTTGACCAACACTGACATATAGTACATTTCTTTATCATAGAACATATTACATTTCTGCTTTTTTCCAATACCATACAGCACTCTTTGTAGTAACTAACTTAAAGCAGATTTCAATTTTATTTTTATAAAACCCCCTACTTACCTGGTGGTGAATTCTGCACATTTTAGATACTTACCCACTCAGCAGATCCATCATTGTCCATCTGAGCTCCTCGTCTCTTCTGGTAGCGCTCGGTCCCATGTTTTGGTGTGACATTATTGAGAGGCTGACGGCTGTTCTGAGTTTAGTCGACATGCCTCCCTGATGGTATGGCATGATGGATAAGTATCTGCCTGTAATTCTCAGCATTGAGGACATCATTGATGGGGCAATATTGAGGACCATAGACACAGTAGTTGGCCAAGGAAACTGAATGCAGCAGATGAAAAACGCATCATACTTACTTCTCTTTGACACCATAAGATGTCCAGCAGTGCCATTAGCACAGAACTGGAGGAAACCAGAAGGACCCAGTTATATCCATCTACTTTCTGGAGAAGTCTGGGTCTTCATGGAAGAACTGCAGCAAAAAGCCAAACCTCCAACGTGGAAACAAGGCAAGGTGACTCAACTAAGCACAAAAACATAGGAACTGGGGTGCATAAAATGGCAGTAGGTGCTCTGGACTGATGAGTCAAAATTTGAAATAAGTGGCTGCAGCAGGAGACAGTCTGTTGGCAGAAGGGCTGGAAAGCAATATGATAATGAACGTCTGCAAGCAACAGTGAAGCTTGGTGGAGGTTCCATGCAAGTTTGGGGCTGCATTTCTGCAAATGGAGAGTTCATTGGGATCAAAGGTGTCCTCAATGCTGAGAAATACAGGCAGATACTTATCCATTATGCCATACCATGAGGGAGGCACGTGATTGGCTCCAAATTTATTCTGCAGCAACCACCCCAAACATACAGACAATGTCATTAAGAAATATCTTCAGTGTAACGAAGAACAAGAAGTTCAAAAATTGTTGGTTTGGCCCCAAAAATGCCCTGATTTCAACATCTGTCTGGGATTACATAAAGAGACAGAAGAATTTGAGGCAGCCTACATCCACAGAAGATCTGTGGCTAGTTCTCCAAGATGTTTAGAACATCCTACTTGTTGAGTTCCTTCACAAACTGTGTGCACCAACACTGTGTGTATCTAGAAGAATTAATGGTGGTTTGAAGCCAAAGGGTAGTCACACCAAATATTGATTTGATTGATTTGGAATTCTCTTCAGTTCATTTACTTTCCATTTTGTTACGTGATAAAAATGAACTATTAACACTTTTTTTTTTTTTTTTAAAGCATTTTTCACTTACAGCATTTTTTCACAACTTCCTGAAACGTTTTTTATAGTACTGTTTATCTAAAGACTTTTTTTTTATTTTTTGGAGAGATAGAGGGGAGAGGGATTGGAACACCTGTCAGGTTTTTATTGGCCCTGTTAGGGAGATTCACTCCCTATTTGTCATGTTTACTGTTATCACCAAAAGTGAAAGAAAATCCCAAATTTGGGTTGTCCCCAGCAAAGGAATAGAGGAGACTCTTCCAATGGAGGCACTTGTTCTGAGGCCTTGGTGACAACCAGGGATTCCTTTAATTTGAAGATATTTCATCTCACTTTCTGTTTTGGCTATAGGTCAGGAAGTGAAAGGAAATTTCTCTAGCAGGATAAAGATGGCAAACAAACCCTTATAAACCTCCCTTACTCTCCAAAATGAGAGAGAAAGTTTTGCCTTTAGTTCTATTTTAATTTAAAAAAATAAATGTAAACAGTATTTTAGGTGTATGACTCTACAGGACAATAAGCAGGTATATCTGAGTGTTGGAGTGAGCACCAAATAATGTAAGAGCATTATTTTTAGTGTCAATTTTTGGTTTTATGCGATGATGGTTCTCCTTCCCTTTTTCTTTCTGCCTTCCATATGTATGAGGAAACTCTGAGGTTGAGGATATGTGCTGGGATTATATATAAACCTGCAAGTTTTTTTAACTTGCTTCTAGACATAAGAGGTCAAAGGAGAATTGGAGAGTTTTCTGCACAAAAGGGTAGTCTTGGCGATATAGGAACAAACACATATCGGAGGAGTTTTTTGGCACTTGGCATGTTAGCTGCGATTGTGTTATTGATGTGATAAAACTCACGGACGGCGGGAAGTGAAAACTGAAGCACTGGCAATTTTTTTGATATGCAAGCTCTTTATGCATTATTCATGAACTGTTTGCTGTGAAGAGTGTTGTAATTTTATCCTGTTATTGAAGCAGTTTAAAAATTTTGTTTTTGGGGAAATACTAAGGAGTGACACTTATGCGCTGTATTATTAATATTTATTAATTGGTACTATATTTGTGTTCATTCATTATTTAACATTTTTTTTAATCAATATTTTTGTTAAATAATAATTATTTTTATTATTATCAATTAGCACATTGAGCACTTTATCACTCTTCAAATTGGGGAATTATTAATGCGGAACTACAGTGCATATGAGCACCACAAACCAAAACGCTATTTAATTCCAATATTCAAAATATTCAAAGCAAACTCCCCCACAAATCCATGTCTCCATGCTTTATTTTGCTGAGATACCACTTTGAAAAACAAAAACCAAGTAATTCAAGCAGTGGTCAACTTAAAAAGAGGGCAGATGACTCTTGTAGCATTTACTTCCTGGAATCCATCTATCCTTAGATAAGGCATGCAGATGTGCTTAGCTAAGAAAACCCCTCCTCCCTTCCTGAAGATTCCTGGAATATATAACATCATTTGCTCAGGCCTGGACACCAGGAAAGTAACTGAAGAAATGTAAAAAAATGTTTTTTAAAACAAGTAAAATAATACACCTTCCTATCTATTTACTAATGCTAGCGGCATAAAGATTAAAAATAGTCAATGCTGACTGAGAGACTGAAGTTCCACTTTATTATCTGAGGGTTTTATGTATGCATTGCAAATACAGAAAGAAGAAATGCCACATTGAGATTTTAATGCAGCTTAATTAAATACCACACATAAACACTGATGTATAAAAAGATTTATATACTTTATTTTACAAAAATACCTAAAAAATACCCATATACAGTGGATATAAAAGGCTACAAAATATAAAAAGGCACGCAATCTGACAGATTTGGAGTGTTTTTGCATGGAACAGTGGGCAAATATTGCCAACTCTATGTGCCATGCTGATAGACTCATACCAAAAAAGATTGCGTGCTGGAATCAAATCAAAAGGTGCTTCAACAAAGTATTAGTTTAAGGGTGTGCACACTTACGCAACCATATTATTTTAGTTTTTTATTTTTACTTCCCTCCACCTAAAAGATTTCAGTTTGTTGCTTAACTGAGTTGTACAGTTTATAGGTCACATTAAAGGTGGAAAAAGTTCTTAAATTATTTGTCTTTGTCTTATCTTTTTACATCACAGAAACCTGACATTTTAACAGGGGTGTGTAGACTTTTTATATCCACTGTATAAAAAATTCTCTCTGGCGGCTCTGACAAAATTTGTTCAACATCAACCCCTATATGGGGTCAAAAAATAAAAAAAAAACCCACATAAATCAATACACATAATGATCCCTGATTGCACCAATGTGTTTCGATCATTCCAATCCAAGATCTTTTTCAGGAGGCATGAGAAAGAAAAGGATCTAATGTATCAGTTCAACCATCAACATATGTCAGAGCAGGCTGGCTGACCAGATTGGGGTAGAGGTCTCTGAAACACTGGTAATCCGAGTTAGGTGGACTTCATAAGGATTTATCTTTGATACTATGTCAAGGGGCTCTGTTTATTTTTCACATCATTTTAACAAGGATGAAGTGATGACTTTCAGTGCATTTATGATACAGGCCCTTTTTTACCAACATGGAAGACAGTATATTGACACCCGTACCCTTTTTTGGTTCAATGTAACCCCATAGAGCAATTAATTCGCTAGTGTGAGGATCTTTTGGACCCCTCCCTCTGTTGCCAATGTTCTGAAATGTCTATGTGCCCACATGTGTACCCCCAGTCTGCTCCCACCATCGGCTACTGTGGCACAGTATCTTGTTAAGAATGCCATGACCAGGGGACTAAAGATGGCTTGATCCAGTCCCACTAAACCAATACCTACCCCCCATCCTTAACCTAAGTAACCACACTGACAATTAAAATGGAGTTAATAGCCCAAAAACGGCCTTTTTATTACAACCATCAATAAATAACATTTTAAATAACAGAAAACACAGTATAAACATACGTTTTTTCAAGGTCCCAATAGGCATCAAGAAAACGAACACCTGCATCCTGCTTAACTAGGCCTCCAGCCACAACATCACCCACTCAGAGACACCACCACAGATACCCCCACCAGAACATCTGGAAGCCATACCTCAGATGGGTTCCTACAAAGTGCCTTTTCTTGTACCCACATTAACCAATGAGGACCTTGCACCCCGCTGGACATCCCCCAGCACCAATATGGCACAACCACCACCAAGACAAACCATAAAACAACGGGCGGGCGGGAGGGAAGTTTGCCTCTTCTTCAGACTGAAGACCCCCTGCCACACCCTGTCAGACCACCCTTCGTAGCTTCCCCCACTCCTTCCTTAAACCATTTAGACTTATGCTAATGGGACTCTGCCTCTCCCAACCCCCTTTAACCCCTGTCATGCCGGCCCTTCGTTCAGGTCTTCTATCTTCTTACTCCGGGCCTTCCTTTATTTTCTAAAGCTGCTTTGGTATATGTTGATATTTGAACTGATACATTAGATCCTTTTCTTTCTCATGTTCCCTGAAGAAGAACTTGGATTGGAATGATCGAAACGCACCGGAGCTATCAGAGTTCATTATGTGTATTGATTTATGTTAAGGTTTTTTTTGGTTTGTTTTTTTGACCCCCATATAGGGGTTAATGTTAAAAAAAATTGTCAGAGCCGCAGGAGAGATTTTTTTTTTTATATATGGGTATATTGTAGGTATTTTTGTAAAACAAAGCATAAAAATCTTTTTATACATCAACGTATATGTGTGGTATTTGATTAAGCTGCACTAAAGTCCTAAGAGGGTATGTCTTCTCTTTGTATTTATGATGTTTTCGGGACAAGCAGCCGATACGTGAACTTTCTTTATTGTGCATATGCTTTGTATACATGTAGGTATGCTGTATATAAATACAGCAGTGCGGGAAATATGGGTAAAGGAATGCAGATTTTATTACACAGCAAATAATTTGACATTTCTTAGCTGTACTGAGGTTCTGCTACATGGTTATTTTAGAAGCAAACTGTATTTGAATCATAGGAACATATTTGTCAGAGTTTGGTTAATAAAAAGAACAGCTGCTAGGCCATCATTTCAGGAGATACAGAGGATGCAATAGTTGGGCCAAGGAGGTCAGGTGTAGCTGTTACTTATCTCTGTTTCGGAGCTGCGTGCTCCTGGTTTGTTCTGAACAAACAGACAAGAAATTGGTGTAAAGCAGGGCCGGATCTAGCCTATCTGATCTGGGGGTGCAATAAAAAAAAGTCAGGGGGCATAATGTCAACACTATGTGTGTGAGTCACGGACAGTCTGTCATGCAGTGTCACGACCTGGAAAACACTAGTATGCATTAGATTGTCATTAGATTACGGTGATTAACCTCCCTGGCGGTCTAACTAATCGATGTTTTTGAATGTCAAAGCGGTACATTGTTTTGCATGGAAATTTGTTGTTTTATATTGGAGGGCTATAATTCTTAGGAATAACTCACTTAAATCTGTCCAAACAAGAGTCTAGTAAACATCCCGGGTATGATAAAGTTTGAAACACAAAATCATAAATTATAATATAATAAATAATTATAAATAATAATATAATAAATTTAATTCAATAATGTAATCAAACCAAAAACACTAACATTTGAAATATAGCACACATCACTGAGCTCAGTTGCAGAATCGTTTTCAGTGTCTGATGATGAATTTCCCCATGAATCATTATCACTCAATTCTGGAAGTGATTCTAATTTACTATCTCTGTTCTCTAGCTGATCTAAAACCGCTTTTGACCTAAAGGGAAGCTTTTTGGATTCCATGGACGTTCTCAAGTTCGCAAGGCCTAGGAGTGAGTTCTAGGTAAGTATGGTGACTTGGGAAGGGGGGTTGCATCTACTTAGGGAGGTGAGGGCAAAAGGGTAGGAGACTTTTTGGCGGGGGATCTATTGTTGTTCTAGGAGTCTTTTGTTGTTGTGAGGGAACAGTCTATTGTTGTTGGCAGCTGGGGGATCTATTGTTGCAGAGGGAGGTTTGTTCCGGGGGGGGGGCATATTCTTACTTTGGGAGTCTTATGTTGGTGGAATGGGCTTTACTATTGGGGGGGGGGGGGGGTCTAATGATGTTGGCAGCTGGCAGATCTTTTTTTTAAGGTGGGTTCTATTGTTGCTGGAGTGAATTTATTGTTGCTGGGAAGCATTTTTCCTGGGGAGTCTATGCTCTGGGAGTCTTATGTTGTTGTAAGAGGATCTACTGTTGAGAGGGTGGTCTATTGATGCTGGCTGCTGGGGGATCTATTGTCACTGCCGGGGCAATTGTTGCTGGGGGGATCTACCATTGTGGAGGGGTCTTTTGATACAGGTGGGGAATCTATTGTTGCTGTGTGAGTCTTATCTTGTTGGGAAGGGATCTACTGTTGAGAGGGAA